GGTGGACGCGGTATCCAGTTTCCTTTTCGAAGGAAGCAGCACTATCTTCTCCACGACCGATAACATCAAATGGCACTTTCAGATCTTGTAGGACTTTAGCATATGCTCGGGCATGAGGTCCTGCTCCTACCAGCCATACATTGATACTTGCCATGATCTCTCTGTAATATAGTGAAGAATGCATTTTCGTAAATGATGTATTCACAAAAAAATCACGTTAGATGAAACACATTTGATTGTCTCAAATTGATATTAACACGGTGACTCCTCAAGTCTGTGATATTCAATGTTCGTTTTATTTTTGATATATTTCTTTGTAATAAAATATTCACTCTATACGTATATACCATGATTTCTAAACACGGTGTGTTCTCTTGCGGTGGGTTGCCGCGATTGTTGGAATTCTAGACAATTCTACACGGAATTATTTGTCGCAAAACGTTCAGGTATTAGTAGATTACATTGGAACCTGCGTAGTTTTTGCAGGCTACGAATTTCCAGCTTCTCTTGTTTCATCTTTTACACGAAGTGGACGAATTTACAGGTTTATTATAATATTGGTTACAACAGTAGCACGAAAACGGTACTACAGTTTTACTTGAATATTATTGTCTTTTGAAAACACACACAAAAAACAAAACAAAAAAAACAACGAAGATGATTGGTACGACCACGCAAACACAAGACTACGATAATATTCGTATAATACGACGAATCTTTTTATCATAATGTGATAGTGTAATTTCATTGGTTGCAAAACATTAGTAAAAATGCAAAAAGTGAATAATGAGAATATCAAATAGCACATAAAACGCTTATGTTGTCTCACTCAACGCATTTCAACCTGAATACAGTAAAAATATCGCTAATAACATTTAAATCACACATTACGACCAGCACAGAAATACTATTGTTACTTTGTTTCTTCATCAAAATAATAAATGTGTTAAATGGAGGTTGATTACACAACATGCATGATACCATCAGACATGCCGGCCGCGATCAAACGGATAACGATAATCCTATCACGAAATATTGAGATTAACTCCCTGTTTCAATAATGTTTAAGTAGCTTAATGGAGTTAAAAGTGGTGTAAGCCTAATGTCCCAACACATCGACAAAATACAGATTAATAGTGGTTAACATTATAAAAAAATGATTGATTGATTGATTGCGAGATTCAAATTTGTATAAAACTAGTGATTTATTAGTAGAAATAAACTACTACTATTGTACTGGTCAATCTGCTTCATCAGACTGGGTTGCAGCATGTGGTAGAAACACACATGATCACACACATGCACAAATCTGCATAATAATGTTTATTATTATACATCTGTCACCGTAACGCCATGAGTTACAGCGAACCGTAATTTTGCGGTATTTTACGGGGTATTTTCATTCTACCATATTAGGAAATTCCAAATATGGAATTATTACGCGCGTAAGCGTTTCCTAATAATAAAAACGAATATGGCTGCCAACAGAGTTTGACCAGACTCCACATAAATAAGTTCGCTAATTCTGTTCTAAAAAAAAAATTATTTCTGCATTCCCATGATGTATCTTTGAAAAAAAAGATGTATAATAATAAGATTATTATGAGGATAACTCAGAGTATGCACTCAGGCAGTACACTGTCGCAGTACTCCCGCTGTACTTTCGTCGTGCATACGTTGAAGTTTCTTCGTAATAACCTCATATAATTATTATACACCTGTCATCGTTTCGCCATAAGTTACAGCCTGCCTTAATTTTGCGGTATTTCCCATGATGTATCCTTGGAAGGAAAAAATTATAACAATAATATATATAATAATATTACGACAATACGTCACTTTGAGGTATCCTCGTAATACCCTCATAATATTACAATCTGTCGAGTATATTCATGGAATATGATTAAATACATTTGTGGGCATGTCTTTATTTGTTCAAGTTTAGTGTTTTGAAAACAAATTCAACGGTCGGATGCCGAATTGCCGTTATGCGACACCAACCCAAGAATGTAATTGCTTCATTCGAATAGTAATAGCAACACAACACCATTTCTGACATAATCACGACGAAATGCCACAGGATATACTTGTGTGTCAAATAAGCAATAGATAGATAGATGTACAAAAAATAAACAAAAAAATAAAAACGTCAAATATTGTTGATACTTATATTAGAATTAAGTATCAGGCGTTCACACTGGTGATGTGAAAACGTTTCATCAGTAACAAATAAATTTGATTATTAACACTGAACAGCTGGTGAGAATTATATAAAAATACATACGCATATGGTGTTTTCAGTTTGCGCAGGATTCCATGACATGATACTCCCAATTTTTACTCTTATACTACATGTTGTTGCCATGTCGACATAAAATGGATAGACGTTAACGGTCGCCGAAATATCGTTGAAAACGAGTAGCCACGAGAACTGTATTTTCTCCTGCACTTATTCTCGCACATTAACGCGGCAAATGTTATGCATATTATGCTTACATAGATCAGTAGAGCAATATACGCCATGACGAAAACAAATGAAAGACTATACGATGAACAAAATACAAGTCTCGTGCATCTCCCGCTGTGAGCGAGATTTCGGAAGCCATTTTGGTTTGAAAAAGAAATACTTGAAATCAGTGGATAGTTGTATATATCTAATATTATTTGTAAACAAATAGGGATGCAACTTCAGTGGAACATAAACGAGTCCAATATTGAGTAAAAAGCTGGCATAGCTTGTTGTTGTTATCGATATAACTTCTCCCTGTCGAGTGTTCTGAAAATGTATCAATGGAAGGGAACAAAGATTCGACTGCGATTCATATTTAAATTAAATACGGATTACACATCAATCCGTATTTTTTAAATAACCAGAGTGTAAGAATACCTTGGATATGAGTGCCTGAGTTCGGATTCGCATAATATGCAAGTCTAGTCTGCATGAAACCAATACGGCTACTGGCACGTAAAATGTACTGTATTTGCATGTTTTCAAAATATTTGTAAATGCACCGTGTATGTTTAAACAATAAATGTTTTCCATTTACGTGATTGACACATATGCATGCCATATTTATCCAAACACTTCAAATACCTCACACAATGTGTATATACGGTAAGATATATAAATTACAAAACCAACATATATATATATATATATATATATATATATATATATATATATATATGTGTGTGCGCGCTCGTTAATGGTCTATCATATTTAAGTCGAGTTTACGTGTCATTAGACGAACGATAAAATTAGACAGTTAATTACGTTTTTAGAATAATGTCATTTGGAAAAAAAATTCAATGTAGATAAGCTGTGATTGTGTGGTAAAAAATAAAAAAAATAAACGATTATTAAGCAAGGAATTGTTAATAACGACCATACCTTTAATGCTGCATAGTACACTGATGAGACGGCAGCAATTTGTGGCAAGGCAATCAACTTATACAATAACACAGCTGCAGCTTTACTAGTTTAATTAAAACGTGTTAGCATTACAGCTGTCAACACCATTGGCGCCTGCTCGTATTAATATCTGTCAGGTACATAATTATTCTGTGTAACATAACATTTGAGAAAGATCATATATAAATGTCTAAAATGAAATTCTACCTGTACTACAAATTATAGTAAAATATCGTACATAGACTCTACAAAATCAAATACTTTGGTTAATCAGAAATGATAGCTTATAGGTCGACGGTCGTCTTTATTGCTTCGTTCATAAAAAAATTTATTATAAAATGCGATCTAAACATGACTTTTTAGTTAATACGTGATTTTCCGAACAATTGCGAGATCTCGCGAGATGCATGAAAGACGCGCGTCGAACGTCTGCCGCAAAAATCGAACGATTTGATTTTGAACTAGAATTTCTTTATTTCGCAGCTTACATTGACCGGCCGATCTTCGACAGAGGAATATTGCTTCCGAATACCCTCACTTAATCGAAATTGCCTATCATCAAATGTGGACAGCACATTATTAAGCATGGAAATGTCCCCGAAATACTTTCGCGTTTGTCGAATACCACGCGATGTTTGACGCGACTACGACGCTATGACCTTTGTTTGTCCTGTTTTTACGTTCTATTTCACGCATAACGCGTGATTCTCGCAGTGTACGGAAAATGGTCTATTAGTACACATTTTGAGAATAAAGTTATGAATGAAAATTGTTATATCACTATGTCATGCAACTAACACAAGCACGGTTTAAATTATTAAAATTGCCTATACTCGCATCGGTATTTCAAGTGTGATCCAGTATAATTAATGAAATTAACGTAACCTTCAATGAATATCCTTGCCCCGTGTAAAATCCGAATCGAATTGACTAGGTGATTGCCGTTCACTGCGAGATCTCGCATAATGCGTGAAAAGATGGAACAGCTGCTACAAAATTTATACGCTTTTAATTTTTAGAACTCATTTATTTAAGCTCAATATCGAAATGCCGATTCTCCAGAAAGGGGAATATGACGTTGAGATACCCCTACTTTATCAAGATTTAACACTCCGACGCTAAGATTTGTGTTTGTTCCGTCCACGTTTCAATTATTTGAGGGAGAAATACATAATATGGTTATGCACCACGTACAACCAAAATCGGTCTAGATTGTCGATGGGTACTTAGCGTATGATATCATGATAGTATATATGTATTTGGAGGGGGGCTCAGCGGGCCTCATTATTGGTAAAGTGTTGATGCCCGAGACATTTTTTCTACAAGAGAC